GAAGGCAACTGCCACTTTCGGGGTCGTTGCAAGATTGCTCAGATTGCCAGGGTTGTGTACCGCCTTTCACAAGACACAACAATTGGCAATACTTGGCGATCTCCAGGGACCGTGGAGGGCGTGCCCCACGACAAGAAGTCCTGCTTTGTAAAGGCGCTCGAGGTTGACCTGGAGTATGCGGCGGCCTGGCGCAGCCTCGGGCTTCTAGGAGGAGGCTGCCTCTTGTGGATGTGGGGGGAGGGGGGGGGCGGATTAGGGTTTATAGGGTTTAGGGTTTTAGGGTTTTAGGGTTTAGGGTTTAGGGTTTAGGGTTTAGGGTTTAGGGTTTAGGGTGTCGCAAAGTCCTGCCTTCCCATAGCACCCGCTTGAACCTGCTCAGGGTCTGCCATCTAGACGTTAAAGTAAAGTTAAGACACTTCCTCAGCACAGCCGCATGCTCCAAGCGGAGATCCAATCTTCCGCCACGAAGGGACACTGGGCGGCGTGACGTTCGACAAGAAGTCCTGCTACGCGAAGGCTCTCGAGCTCGACCCGAAGCATACCCTGGCACAGGTGGATGACGAGTCCTTCTGATGTATCTGAAGTCTTTAGATGCAAGATTTAGGGCCAGTTTAGGGTTTACGCTTTCACCCCCCACATGTTCAGTTCATGAAGGTTTTAAGCATCTGGTGCCTGGCGCCCTGAATCGGGGATCCCGCACCGCTGCGGAGCTACACCAAGTGCCCGTCAAGATGTCAACCCCGAACCCTAAACCCTATGTGTACCGGCGGACTTCGAGGGTCTCTATCGGCAAACCCGGAGCTCCCAAACACAACAAGCTTCATTTGGGTTTAGGATTTAGGGCAGACATGGCGCTATGTTCAGACCTGTGGCTGTGGGGCTTCTCCGGTTCAGCTTTCGGGAGGAAGGAAGGGGTGCTCAGTGCTGGGGGTTCTGGTTTTGTCACTTGTGGATGTCTCGTGGCTCAGCTGGCCGCTGGGGCCCCAAAGCCGAAAACCCTAAACTCTCAACCCGAAACTCCCAACCCTAAACCCTGAACACATGTATGATGGAGTTAGGGTTTAGGGGTTAGGGCTTAGGGTGCGGCTTTAGGCTTTAGAGGTTTAAGTTTTTTTGGTTTAAGGCCTGAGGGTGCATGGTTATGTTGAGGGTTCAGGTTCAGGGTTTCGTGTTT